GTGGACTTCCTTCTGGAAGAGAAAGTCTAGAGACCTCTACCTCTGGAGCTGTGGATGACCTCAGTGGACTTCCTTCTGGAAGACAGGGTCTAGAGACCTCGGCCTCTGGAGCTGAGGACCTCAGTGGGTTGCCTTCTGGAAGGGAAGACCTGCTTGGGTCCGCTTCTGGAGGCTTGGACTTCGGCAAAAAACCTTCTAGAACTCTAGGAAGTGGTCAAGCTCCAGAAGCAAGTGGCCTTCCCTCTGGATTTAGTGGTGAGTATTCTGGAATGGACCTTGGAAGTGGCCCATCCTCTGGCCTGCCTGACTTTAGTGGACTGCCATCTGGGTTCCCAACTGTCTCCCTAGTGGATACTACATTGGTGGAAGTGGTCACAGCCACCACGGCGGGTGAACTGGAAGGGAGAGGGACCATTGGCATCAGCGGCGCTGGAGAAATATCTGGGCTGCCCTTCAGTGAGCTGGACATTAGTGGGGGAGCTAGCGGACTCCCTTCAGGAGCTGAACTCAGTGGCCAGCCATCTGGGTCTCCTGAAATCAGTGGGACAACATCTGGACTCTTTGATGTCAGTGGGCAGCCATCAGGGTTTCCTGACATCAGTGGGGGAACATCTGGGCTTTTTGAGGTCAGCGGGCAGCCATCAGGGTTTCCCGAGGAAACATCTGGAGTGACCGAGCTTAGTGGACTGCCCTCCAGACAACCAGATGTCAGCGGAGAAGCTTCCGGAGTTCTTTTTGGCAGTGGTCAGCCATTTGGCATAACGGACCTGAGTGGAGAAGTGTCGGGAGTTCCTGACCTCAGCGGGCAGGCATCCGGGTTGCCGGGGTTCAGTGGAACAACATCCGGAGCCCCTGACCTGGTGTCCAGTGCCATGAGTGGCAGTGGTGAAGCTTCGGGCATTACGTTTGTGGACACCAGTTTGGTTGAAGTGACTCCAACGACCTTTAAAGAAGAAGAAGGTTTAGGGTCTGTGGAACTCAGCGGCCTTCCTTCTGGGGAGACAGATCTCTCGGGCACATCTGGGGCAGTGGATGTCAGTAGACAGTCTTCTGGGGCAGTTGACTCCAGTGGGTTTACATCACAGCTTCCAGAATTCAGTGGCCTACCAAGTGGAATAGCCGAAGTCAGTGGGGACTCCTCTGGAGCTGAGCTCGGGAGCAGCCCGCCCTCAGGAGCATACGATGGCAGTGGACTTCCATCGGGCGTCCCCACTGTTTCTCTTGTAGACAGAACTTTGGTGGAATCTGTAACCCAGGCTCCAACAGCCCAAGAAGCAGGAGAAGGGCCTTCGGGCATTTTGGAATTCAGCGGTGCCCATTCTGGAACACCGGACACGTCTGGAGACCATTCTGGATTTTTGGACCTCAGTGGGCTGCAGTCAGGGCTGGTCGAGCCCAGCGGAGAGCCAGCAAGCACTCCATATTTTAGTGGGGACTTTTCTGGAGTCGTCGATGTCAGTAGGGAATCCTCTGCAACCACGAGCAGCAGCGGGGAGGCCTCAGGACTTCCCGAAGTTACTTTAATCACTTCTGAGTTCATAGAGGGTGTTACTGAACCAACGGTTTCACAGGAACTCGGCCAGAGACCCCCTTTGACACACACACCCCAGCTTTTTGGGTCCAGTGGAGACACCTCTGCGTCTGGGGATATCAGTGGAGCTACACCAAGGTTCCCCGGGTCTGGGGTAGAAGCGTCATCAATCCCAGAATCCAGCAGTGAGACGTCTGCCTACCCTGAGCCTGGGGTAGGGGCATCTGCTGCCCCTGAGGCCAGCGGAGGAGCTTCCGGGTCCCCCGATCTGAGTGAAACCACCTCTGCCTTCCCCGAAGCTGATAAGGAGAGAGGCTCAGGCCTGGGAGTGAGTGGCAGCACCTTGGTCTATCAGGAAGGACCCAGGGAGGGCTCAACCCCACCAGAAGTGAGTGGGGACTCAACCACCACCTATGATGTGGGCACAGAGACATCAGGCTGGCCCTCGGCCACTCCCATGGCTTCTGGAGACAGGACTGAAATCAGCGGAGACCTGTCTGGTCACACTTCGGGGCTGGATGTTGTCATCGGCACCAGCATCCCAGAGTATGAATGGACCCAGCAGACCCAGCGCCCTGCAGAGGCGCATCTAGAAATCGAGTCCTCAAGCCCCTTGCACTCAGGAGAAGAGACCCAAACAGCCGAAACAGCCACCTCCCCAGCAGACGCTTCCATCCCAACGTCTCCGGAAGGAACAGAAGAATCGGAGGCAACCACTGCAGGTATTGTTGGGATTTTTTTCCTTTACATGTGTTTGGGTATTTCCGACGGTAGCATAGTATGAGGCAGCATAGATTCATGGTTCCGAGCGCAGCTCCCCCACAGATCAGCTGTGCAGCCTCAGGCAAGTTTCTTAACCTCTCTGATCCTCATCTGTAAAATGGGACTAGTACCAGGGAAGATTAAACAGCATATAAATATATATCAAAAAGCACTCAGCATCATACGTTGCACATAGTACACGCTCATAAAGATTGGTGACTGTTGTTAACCATCACACTGAAGTTACATCACAGGGACAAAGAACGTCTATATGTGAACTTGACTATTTGTACTTGGCACAGGGAGAGGAAAGGATGACTATGTACGTAGTGCAAACATTCTGCTCCTGTCCCCTTCCCATGGAGCATGAGACATGAGATGCCCGAAGGTTTACTTTGTGCACAGTTTAAAAAATGATGAAGTGTCATTGTGGCCGAGTCCTGACTCTAGGCCCTGCGTCCCCACCCCCACCCCGTACAAGTGACTCCTCTGTGCTGTAGTAATTGTCTCACCTCAGCCCCATCCCGGCACCAGGGGCTGACCCTTTTCCATTGCTTTTTGCTTTGGCATCCCTTGAACCTCCCTGTCTGCTGAGAGAGCTTTCGCAGTCAGAGAGCCCCACCCCCACACGCTGGGGCTCGGTGTGCCGGAGGGCCAGGGTCGCCATAAACATAACCCACCCAAAGTCAGCCTCACGAGCTCAGGGGCTATGCTGCAACCCAGGAGGCTAGATTCTTGATGCTCAGCCTCTCCCTGGGGGTTGCAGCCCCCGCCAGGTCCTGTGCCGAGAAGCCCTGTGGCGCTGGGACCTGCCAGGAGACGGAGGGACATGTCATATGCCTGTGCCCCCCTGGCTACACTGGCGAGCACTGCGACATAGGTAAGACCCTCATGGGGTGGGGTGTGCGGGTAGAAGCCACGGGACAAACATGGCACGTCTTTCTAGGGCATTTCTTCTATATGACAGTGTAAGGGAAAAAAGTCAAGCTAAGTGATTCAACTGAGGCGTAGTGAGTGTTTTGTCAAGCCAGTGATTGCTTGAGGAGTAGAATGTAAAATGTGCTTGAATTTTGAAGATAAAACTTGAGACTTGAAAGCAATGTTGAATGAGGGTGTGTATCGGGTATAACCGGTCATGCACACAGTTGCTGGGAGGGACACGCCGAGATGTGGTCATGCACCGTGCAGAACGAACCTCTCCAGGACAGTTCCTCAGTCCTCTTCATGCTTGGGTTGGGGTGGCGTTGGGGTGCCCCTCTTGACCTGAAGGAAATGACACAGACAGTGCTTGTCACCCCCAGCTTCAGGAGTCATGGCTACAGGTCAGCTGTGACCAAGCGGCACCCTGCCACTAGGTGTCCATCACCCTGGGGCCTTGGTGTGTCCTAGCCATGCGTCAACAGCCTGTGGGACAGGTGAGGAGCCTGGGGAATCCTCTAATTGGAGGTAGCTCCCAAAACAAGATGGGTTAGAATCTACCTGTCATTCCTTGAACACTTTGAGGCCTGTGGCCGTTCCATCCCCTCATCATCCCCATCGTTGGGGCAAGAAACGCCTTGTTACCTCCAAGCTCAGATTCTTGGGTTAGCTCTGCACTGACCGACGCCCTCACCCCAGCCTCTGTCCAAAGTCAGGAATCAGAGGCCAGGGTCTTTCCTAAAAGGTAAGACTCTCATTCCTAAGACACAGGCAAAATCAGAGCCATGAGTCCTGGGGGAAACAGCCACTACCAGGTAAATGGTACCAGGCAGCTATCCTCCAACAGCCTTTACGTCACAGACAAAGAAGACGCCTGTGTTTATATGCATATTAACATATATGCAAATTAACATCTCGTGAGAGTATATACTCACGTAATATAAATATGCTGTATACTTGGCACTTATACAGGAGGCGTATATGTATACACAGATACACAGGCACCAGGGTGGCCATCTAGTCACCCTTCCCCCCACTGGGGTCAGCCTCTGCTCACCTGTAGGGGCCATGACGGAGGATATTGTAGGCTTCCATGGCCAGAGAAGGTGGACTCTGCTAGGAAGGTCCTGGCCTTGCTGCCAAGGGGACAGCATTTCCACTGGGCCTTAGTGACCTCAGGGACTGTACCCCTCCATCATCGACCCCCTATGGCAGGGCGGATGCTGCCTCTGTCCTGGGAGAAGAACACCCTAAGAAGACTTGGGGAGGCCCTGAGTGTGCTTTCCAGCAAGCAGGGCCCCGAGTCCTCAGTCTGCGTTGGGAATGGCTCTGTCTGTCTCTGTGCAGCGCCCCCTGGAGGACATTGTGCCAGGTCGACCCGCAATTCGTCTCTCCATCCCTGTGCACAGGTGGAGGGCCCACCGCCTGGGATGAAGTACTGCGGAACTCAGCTCAGTCCACCAGCTCAGCCTGGGTCAGCGAGACTCAGAGCCCAATAGGACCTCAGGGACAAGGGCGGCCACCAGGACAGGAAACCCCCATTTGCCTTCTTTTAGTATCTTCTGACACCTCTCCCTTCTTACCAGCTCCTTACCCAACTCGATACTGGAAGCAAACATGTGACACTGGTATCAGAAGTCACATCGAGACTCATATCCCTGAACCCCTGAAAGTAGAAGTAGGTGACAATGGACCTTAACTAATCTACTGTAAGGACAGCCTTTCTCTAATCACAAATTTTTTTAAAGGCTTTCTTTCCCACAGTTTCTTCCCAGACAGCTCTGGGAATATCTTGGTTCCTTCACTTGTTCCCTCACCTGTGAAAACGGCACAATGTCGTTCGCGCCATAGAGCTGTTGGGGGGGATAATGTGTGTGTGAGAAGTAGTATCGGGCTCAGAGGAACTTCTTGAGATATGTTGGTTCTCTCTGTTCTTCCTTCCCGCAGCCTTCCCAATGCCCAAAGCCCTTCCCGTTCTCCACCTTGTCTGGGGTTCCCCGCTCGGCGCTCACATCAGGGCCCCCAGCCTAATGCCTCTCATTGTTTCAGAAGACAAGCAATATCCTACTTGCCCTTCACAGAAAGAGGTGGTGCTGCAGGGCCAGAGTGGCTCTTCCAGCCAGAGGAAGCAGAGCTGAGGCCCATGTGGCCAATAAGAAAGCCCCACACCGGTCACTCAGCCCTCTTCCTCCTGCTGTAGATGCTGACTCTCGACCTCTCTAACTTGCCCCCACCCGGCACCCACAGGGTCTCCGGTCTGCAGAATTGTGACCCTTCCCCGTCCTCATCGGTAAATCCAGGGCCCTGCACAAAACAGCGTCTGAGCCCAGGAACTGGTTCCTTCCGTTTCAGTCCCCGCCACCTTCTCAGATTTTGTGCCCCGGACAAACACAGAAGGAAAACAACATTGCTCCCTGGACCTCAGGCCGCCTGGGGGAGGGTGATAAGCCCCCTGGGACACCTGAAGCCATCTGGCCTGACGTCTCCTGGGGCCTCTGCCTTTCCCATGCTCTCCCCCATGGGCTGGCCAGAGGCCCCAGGGTTGACGCCTGGCTCTTCTCCCCACAGGCCACTCCTGTTCCCCGCTCTATACAACTGCTTTAGCGCCTATATTTGCCTAATATCCCCTTGCCCAGTGCTTCCCGTCTCCCATAATGATGCTAATGGACAAAAGAGAACAATCGCTTTCCTGAAACAGGAGAGCCGCCCCCAGCTTCTGCCCGGCCCGACCAGCCTGACCTATTGCTGCTACTGCTGCTGCTGGGAATCCTGGTGCATGCTGGGAATCCAAGTGCATGCTGGATTTCAGTCAGTTCCTCATGCATTTTGGTTTTGCTTGGAACAGTTCTAAACTTGGAACTGTTGGTTTCTCGTCCATGCTGTAGTCAAGAGATGAAGTCGAGAGAGAGATGCCTGAGGACTTGAGAGTCTCAGGCTACTCACTGCACAAAACCAACTCTGGTCTAGAAGCATCTACGATGCACTAGCGAAAAGGGCCCAGAAGAAAGTGCTTTTTTTTCTAATCAGAGGATTGACTTTAATGTCCAGTCCTCTCCTGTGAGAGGCAAGAACTAAGTCCTGGGGCCGGCCAAGTGGCGTGTTGGTTAAGAGCTGGCTTGGGACGCCAGCTCTGAGCAGCAGAGCCCCGGTTCGGATCCCACATGAGGGCCAGTGACGCTGCGCCCTCTGCAGCTAAGATGGTGAACAACAGCTCGACCTGGAGCTGGGCTGCCGGGAGTCGCCGGCAACGGCATAGGCTGCAGCCCCTGCTGCAGTGGGGCTGCCGTAAGCTACCATGAGTGGCTGGCAGCCGGTGTGCGCTGCCAAGAGCCACCGTGAGCGGCCGTCCAGAGGCCAGCGACCGATCTGCCTCACCCAAGAAGAGTGCAATGATAATACCAACATGGGCCAGTGAAGCAATGTGCTCCACACTAGACTGAAGAACAAAAGGACAGCAACTTGTCTGTTCCCCTCCCCCAATACCCCCAATAAAAAATCTTTAAAAAAAAAAAAGAACTAAGTCCTGGAACATATTTAGGACGCTGCTTATGTGGAGACGACCCCTAGACATGTCGGGTCCTGAAGGTTGTATGAACACAGCTGCACATACAGAGGCTAAGCCACGTATCGCGATGCCCCGTGAGCCAGTGGATCCCACTCCTTTGATAATCTCCTGGGACAAGGAGCTTCACAATACCTTTCATCATGTTCCCAGGAGAAGTAACCCAGAAAAAAAAAAGAGCAGAAGCCTTTGGAGTATAAATGGGAAGAGAGTGGACGAGCCCCTCTAGGTATCGGGATTCTCAGAAAGATGCAGAAAGACCAGATTAGGAGATTCAGTTCTCACCTTGGCTAATGGAAGAAAATTCGATGCAAAGGCCAATGACTTACAAACTCAGAAGTCCTGCAAAGAAGTTGGATCAGAAAGGACATCTTGGACCAGAATAACAGAAGGGAAGAAGAGGTTGATAGGGACATACCTGTGACCCAGGCCGGTGCTGGTGGGCAGCCACTTACCGAATGCCTCACCAACTTCAAAACTTGACTTCCACCATGTTCAGAGCTAGTTCAGAGCCCATGGTTTCTTGAAATAGTCTCAAGAGAAGGCATCTTATCTTGGACAAACTCCATGCTCACTCTCACGCTAGGCACTTGGCTTCAGAAGTACCCCCATCTTTTCACACAGCGGGAATTCGGGCTCCAATGCACAGCTTGCCAATCAAGAAATCACACACACCCAAGAAAACCCTGGTTGGATCTTTGGCTCAGCACTCCAAGATGGCGGCAGCAGCAGCAGCAGCAGCAGCAACAGTTCTTAGAAATCCAGCCACCCCCTCCCAGGGCTCTGGAGAGCCACAGGGCTGGCCACCCGTGCAGAGGCTGCAGTGCTTGCAAAGCTGGAGTTGCCGGCGGGAGTCCTAATGGTGGCCCTTGGTTTCTTGCAGACATTGATGAGTGCCTCTCAAGCCCTTGTCAGAATGGAGCCACCTGCGTGGATGCCATCGACTCTTTCACATGCTTATGCCTTCCCAGCTACCGAGGGGACCTGTGTGAGATTGGTACGGCCGTCTCGGCTTCAGCTAATGTTACTAACTGCTGCACCCCCAAGTCCTCCCTCACCCTTCCCTTCTAACCACAGCCTCTAGGCCTTGGCTGGGGCCCCCACTGTCCACTTGAGGGGCCACAACTGCGAAGTCCGCCCCACTCACTCCCACGCCTTCTCTTGCTGTTCCCCCACGAAAACCCACCTCTTGGGGCGTTGGCTGATCTGACCACAGGAGAGACACGCAGGCCGGGCAAGCCTGCACTTTGGAATGTGGGGCTCTGGGGGACCTTTAAAACACTAACCTTCTCCAGGGCTTCCAGACCTGCTGATGCCACCATCGAGGTCGGTGCATGCATCAGACTAAGAGGACAGAGTTGATTCCGCGCATTTGTCTTCAACGAGGCTATGGGTGGGAGGAATAGGTTCTCGCTCCGGGATGACAGCCACGGATCTTCTCCTCAAGGTCATGGGCATTGTGTCTGCCTGCTGTATTGCCCATGGGACCTCGGTGGCCCCTGTAAGGCCTTGGGAGCCACCATGCCACACTAGCCAAGCTGCCTTCCTCTTCTTCTCTGGCAAGAGCTATGGTTTGTCTGCCTGAGAGCTCCCGCGTCACCAGCATGCTCAGGTCACGCATGAGCAGGAGCTGCTGCATGCCACCTTCTCCTCATCACCACCATGACAGCTGCCATGTCAATGCCACTCTGGCCCACACTTCCTTTCTCCCTCCCTTGTGCAAGGCAAAAGGCTGGCCAGAGAGAACAGAGCCACGTTGCAAGGGCCTTGCCAACCCTTCTGCTTCTATACCTGGGCAAGGCTCTGCCAAGGGGAGCTGTGTGCCAGGCACCTCCCAGGGCCACACTGAGGCCCCCGCTCTCTCACCATTGGTGCTTTCCAGTCTCTTCCATCCTCTTGGATCTCAGGGCCATCCCAACTCAGAAAGGGGGAGATGGGGCTTACGGTTGCTGGTAGCAATGGCCCATGTAGAATTGGAAGTGTGCAGGGTCTTAAAACCATGTTTAATGAAATCTCACGTTGGACATCCCAAAACCTTCCAGAAAGCAACTGAAACTCCTGGGAAGCCTCCCTTTGGTCCTAAGCAGTGTGGGAGGTAGTGATGGATTGCATGTTCTTTGGAGGCACTGCCACGGTCACAGAGGAGGGGAGGAACTTACGGCTTCCGGAAGAAGAGTGCTGAATCCTTCTTCCCTACAGCCTCCCACCTCTGCCTTCGCCCTAAGACCCCAAGAAATTGGCGCATGGGGTCTTGGCTAGCAGGGAAGTCGAGAGTTACAAGGATTTTCTTTCCAGGATGCCAAAAACTATTTGTCGTAGGGGAGAAGGACCTGGAAGGCCCACACAGACAACAGCTGGTGGGCTGCAGACTGGGAGAGACGGGGCCCTGCTAGGAGCGGAGGCAGGGCATTAACAGGGCTCTGCATTTGATGGAGCAGAGATTGGGTGCTACAGGTGCCCACCTGGGCCCCGGGACAGGACACCCAGCTAAGTAGGGCTGCATCCCTTCTCCCACTCCAGTCCTGAGCCCCCACCACTCCAGGGGTGACTCGGGCCTTGACTCTGGCCTCCTGCTTCCTGGAACTCGGCTGCTGTGTCCCCAGAGCCTGCCTCCTGCACGCCCCCCCCCGCCCCCGCCCAGAGCAGTTACCCTCTCCAGCTTCGTTTGCCCAGCTCAGCCCTCAAGCGCTGAGGTGGCCCAAGAATGAACCGCACAGTCAGCCCTGGGATGGTGTTTCCGGCCTCCTGGTGCTGCACCACCTCTGACACCGCTGCTCTGCCTTCTTTCCCGACCTTTGTCTCCTCGTTTGCACTGGCAGCTGGGGACCAGAAGCCTCCTTTGCCCTCTCGCCTCCGTTCTGCCTCTTGTCAGGCTGCTGGCCGCCCACTCTCTCTCTCTGCTCTCCCCAAACGTGTGTCTTCCAAATCGGCCAAGCCTCCACCCCCTCAGCCTAAGCCTCCTTCCCCTCAGATACTTGTCCTTTCTTCCTGAAACAGGCTGACTAAGTGGCCCCCAGTCAGGGAAGGACGTGCCGTACAATCCGAGGGGCTCATGGCCCTGCGCTGAGCCCCAGGACCCTAGGGGCACCCTTCACCTGGGAGGCCCAGGGGAAGAGAGGGGGGCTTGGCATTCCCTCTGTCCAATGCTGTGCTGGCAAATGTTTAACCATGGGCTCTTGAAGAGGAACGGGGAGCCCTGATTTGTAGCACCTGCCAATCTCTGCGGTAGGACACGCCCTCCAGGGCCCATATAAAGCTACCACTGTGATGTCACCAAGGGCAGAGTTGGGGAGACGCACTCCTAGTGGCTCCCTGAAGCCTGAAACATCTGGCTTCAGCATGCCCCTGCCTCTGTCCAAGCCAGCCGCTTCTCCTGCACTCAGAACCCATCCCCAATATAGGATTGTGAGGAGAACGGTTCTTCCGCTGTCCTCATCTGCCACCAAGAAATAAAAGAAAAAGTCAGGGGCCCTTGGGTCATCGACCCCATGGTTGGCTGCCTTGCCCCCCACGAGGCAGGCTCGGTGTTCTTAGCTAGAGGCTGCTCTGATGGACGGACTCCGAGCTCTGTGTTCTCTGGACCTAAAGTAGCCCTGTCTGCGCCTCTGTCCCCGCCCCAGGTTCTGCTCCATGCCCTCAGCACTGCGTGCGGCTGCCTTCACACTTGCCCACAGCTCCCTCTCTCCTCGGAGCCTCTGAGCCTCTGAACCACATTCTGCCTTAAACCTCAACCCCTCCCACCTCCCCGCCTTTTTTCACCTGACTTGCGGAACTCTGCCAGCTCTGCAGAGCAGGCATCAGCAGGAGAAACGCTTTTGGGGAGGAGCGGGGACCTCAGGGAACGAAAGGGTCCCTGGCATTTCCCAGAGGGTGGAAACAGACCCGGAAGTTGCAGGGGGCCCAGGGCCAGGCCTTCCTGGCTTCCAGCTTGAGCCTCGATCCAGCTGGGCCTCTCCCCTCCTTTGAGGGGGTGACATTGAAGGCAAGGTGTGATGCAGGAATCTGTGCCATGAGGCTGGCAGCGACCGCCACCCCCAGTCGGCCTCGGCCCCTCCCTTCAAGCCCCTGACCTGTGTTGCAGACCAAGAGCTGTGTGAGGAAGGCTGGACCAAGTTCCAGGGCCACTGTTACCGCCACTTCCCCGACCGCGAGAGCTGGGTGGATGCCGAGAGCCGGTGTCGGGAGCAGCAGTCACATCTGAGCAGCATTGTCACCCCCGAGGAGCAGGAGTTCGTCAACAGTGAGTGTGGCAGGGTCTCCAGGGCCTGAACTTGCTAGAAGCCAGCAGACTTGGGCCCAGGGAGGCTGCGGGGGTGGGGGACAAGGAGGGTTTCCACAGCCTGAGTTCCCGGAGACAAGAGGAGAAAGGCTTCTGGGGCCGGTGGCTCTTGCTGCACCCAGGACAGCCCACTGTCTGTCCGTCAGTCCGTGCCAGCTTGGGGAGGTGGTCTGAAGTGCACTCCACACATGCTTGTGCTAAAACCCTTGTCAGGACGTCCGGAAACAGGTGTCATGCTCCTTGGAGCCCACCTACCTCCTGCCACCCTTCATCCCCTCTGCCTCTACAAGCTCAGGTTTCTCAGACACCTCCGGGATGTCCGGCACCTGTGCCCAACACCTGTGTCCTTTCTCCAGGCAATGCTCAAGACTACCAGTGGATAGGCCTGAATGACAGGACCATCGAAGGGGACTTCCGTTGGTCAGATGGACACTCCTTGGTGAGTTTGCTGGGGCCCCCCAGGCAGAGTTGGCAGAGGAGGGGGATAAACACACACACACACACCCAGAGAGAGAGACGCATTCAATCCACATGCAGATACTCTCTGAGCAGCTGCTGAACCGGGTGCCCTGAGGGCAGGGATGGTGTCTTGTTCGCCTCTGCCTTTAGACACCAGCCCAGGGCTGGATGATGGCATGAACGAAGAATGGGAATGAGGAAGGCAATGAATGAATGAAGGCAAACCACCCGAGGGACATATGGAAGCTTTAGAGGGGTTCCTTGCCCACGGAAGACTTGGTCTACTCAAGGACACAGAAAGTAACATTGATGCCAAGTGAACAATACACATAGTAATGCTGTCAGTGAAGGACCTCAGGGAAGGCTCCCTGGCAGGGGTGACTGTGAACAGGGTCATTGGGGAGGGGAGCAGTCACACTAGAGGAAAGGGGCCTCTCCGTTTGTCCTGGAGCCAGGCTAGAGGGAGAAGCCTGGGGAGGCAGAGTGGACTTGGGAGCCATGTCACTGCCACCAAAGCAAGGCAGCCTGTGTGCCCAGCCCCTGCTGGCTTGTATGGGAGCGGGGAGTGACATCAGCTCACCAGGGACCGAGATACCTTGGGGGGTTCTGAGCTTCTGAGGACCACAGCTAGGTGGTGTGAGCAATTCTTTGGAGGGCCCATGGGTTCCGTGGCGCCCAGGGCAATGCTGACCAGATTCCCAGCAGCCTTTGCACTGCTGCCAGAAGAGAAAGGAGCCAGGGAAGGGGCTTGACAAGGAAGAAAGTGAGGGTCACGCCAAGCCACGAGGCTCCTGCCTTCTCCCCACTCCCACCCACAGCAATTTGAGAACTGGCGCCCCAACCAGCCCGACAACTTCTTTGCCACCGGAGAGGACTGCGTGGTGATGATCTGGCACGAGAAAGGGGAGTGGAATGACGTTCCCTGCAATTACCACCTGCCCTTCACGTGTAAAAAGGGCACAGGTAAGCTGGGCCTGGGAGGGGGTCCAGGTAGGAGGGATCAAGACTTTAGGCTCCCGTTGTGCGAATGGCTGCTGATGTCACTTCACGGCCACCAAGCAGACTGGAGCTGACCTGGGGTTGCCTCTCCCAGAACCAGCCTCCCAGCGCCAGTGGCCAGGGCAAGTACACTCCTAGGGACCGCTTAGGTCCCACTTTCCCCACCCCCACCCCCCTGCACCGGGACGTTTTCATAAATAACGGTCTGCCTGGCTCTCACCCTGTTTCTCTACCTTCCTCCCTTCCTTCAGTCTTCTCAATCCCTTAAGACCCTCCTTTGATTCCTTTCCTGCTGCTCTAAATCACGGAGGAACCCAGGTGTTAGAACCAGTGGTTTCTAGATTCCGAGTGCAGCGTGAAAACGCCCCTCGGCCAGCAGCCTGGGCTCCCGGCGGGGTCACCACAGCCAGAGGGGCCACACCGGCTCACCACAGGCATGGGTCATCACGAGAGAGACACCCCCCCTCCCAAGAGCCCTCTCTGAAGGCTGTTTGCCCCTCAGTGGCCTGCGGAGACCCCCCTGTGGTGGAGCACGCCAGGACCTTCGGGCACAAGAAGGATCGGTATGAGATCAGCTCACTGGTGCGGTACCAGTGCACTGATGGCTTTGTCCAGCGCCACGTGCCCACCATCCGGTGCCAGCCCAGCGGGCACTGGGAGGAGCCTCGGATCACCTGCACAGACCGTGAGCATCGTCCCACCCCTCAGTGGCGCAGCGTCACCACCCACCAATGTGACCTCCTCCCTGTCCCCAGAGCGCCCACAGTGCTGGCCTTCTCCGGGGGACCCTGACCCCACCATCAGTACCATCCATGGGCAAGGTCACCAGTCACTGCCCCTGGCCTCCAGGGAGGGCCCACTTGCCCTGAGAGGATAAAAGAGAAAGCAGGGGGCCCACTTGCCTTTTCAACACCAGCCCGAAGCCCCTTAGCTCAAGTTGGTTTCGAGAAAAATCAAAACCAGGAAGCGGAAAAAGCCACTAGGAAGGGAGCCAGGGTGCAGACAGGGCAGGACAGGGAGACACTAGGCTGGCCCCGCTGTCTTCCCCCGCTTCACCAAGATTGTTCCCTCTCCCTGTCACCCAGCCACCACCTACAAGCGCAGACTACAGAAGCGGAGCTCTCGGAAAAACCGCCCCAGCACGGCCCACTGAGGGGAGCTCCCCGGACGCGCCCAGGATGCTGAGCCCAGGAGCCTTGCAGGGCTGACTTCCCACACGGATGGTGTCCTCTTCTTGTCGCTTTCTGTCATATAAGGAATTCCATTAAAGAAGGAAAGAATTAAATCCCACATTGTGTATGCACCCAC